TGGAGGGGCGCACCCTTCCGGCGCTGGGATGCAGGGGCGCGCGGGCGAGTCCCCTCTGGCCAGCCCCGTCCGGCTGCCGGGAGCGAGGGGTCCGCCGGGGTGGGGTGGGCGCAGAGGCGGTGCGCCCCCGGGCTTCGCCGGCTCGGGAGAGCACCGCGGCGGGGCGGGGAGGGCGGCGGGGTGCGGCGCCACCGCCCGTTTCCTCCGCAGGAATCGCTCCGCTGTCCCTCGCCCGGCCTCCGGCCAGCCTGGTCCCGCCCCGCAGAGATGGGTCGAGCCAGGCCCCTCTGCTGGGCTCTGCCAGGAAGGGGCCTTCGGGCCGCGTTGCCTCGGGAGCGGCGGCCCCCGTTCCCCCCACCCCAAACCGCGTTCCAGATGCTTCTGCCATAAAAGGGAAAGTGCCTCGATTAGGCGGAGCGAATTGGGAGCCGCCTGGCCTGGAGCAGACCAGCCGCTTGGCGACGCGTGGGGTGTGCCCCCCTCACCAGCGCGGCGGAGCGGCAGAACCGAGGGGGCTGTGGCCCCCATGCCCCTCTGCTCTCCCAGTGCGGCTGGGGCCCGGCAGGGACCTCCTGCTTCCTCTGCCACGCGCAGGGAGGGCCGCGGTCCTGCTGCGCGCTGCGCTGCGCTGCGCAGGAGGAGGGCGCGAGCGATCCCAGCCTCCCGGGGCTTGGGCAGCAGCAGAACCTGCGAGCGAAGCCCCGCGGCGAGTCCGCCCGCCCGCGATGCTGAGAGGGCGCCACACGCCGCTGGGCCGCTGGGGAGAAGGGCGCGGGTGCCGCGGTGCCCCCCTCGAGAGCGTCCAGAGCCTGCCGGACGCCCCTCTGCCCACTCCGCTCGGACCGGCCCCCTCTGGGGCTGCCAGGACGACGGCGCCAGAGAACCCCGGACGCGGCTGCCCCCTGCGCCGGGGGGGGAACAGGCCCTCCAGGGCTTGGGCCACCTAGGGCTTTTCCCGCCCCTTCCCATGCGTCCCCCGCAGAGGCTGCATTGACACGCCGAGCGTGCCGGTCCCGTCCTCGGCCCGGTCAGGAAGGACGCGCGCCTCAAGTGGGGCATCGCCCGCGCCCCCATTCGCAGCCCCCGAAGGAAGCCCCCGGCCCTGGCCAAAGGGGCGCCCTTTGCTCTTGAGGAAGGGGGCGCGCCGGGCACCCTCACTTTTTCTGCGTGGCAAACGGGGCGCCTCGGGCGGCGTCGGGGTTTGCCTACCTGGGAGCCCCCTCCCCGGCCGCACTGTGATGGGGGAAGGCGCAGCTCAGCAGGACGCGGCCGGGGCGCCTGGAGGCCCAGCGCGGCTGCGCTGCGCTGCGCTGCGCTGCCCTGGCCGGGCCTCGCTCTCTCCAGGGGCGAGGACGGAAGGCAGGCAGCTGCCGCATAAGCAGAGCACCGAGCCGAGGGCGCGGCGGGCCGGGCCCGCGACGGGGCAGGGCTGGCGGCGGCGTCGCTCTCTGCCTCCGTCGCTCGTCTGGGAAGCCACGACCGGCGTCGGGAGGCGGGAAGCCGCCTTTCTGCGCGCCCTCCTGTCAGTGCAGGCCGCGCGCTCACCGCCAGGACCGAGGCCGGCCCCTGCGCAGGAGGCAGCCCTCCGAAGCAGGCCGAGGCGCGGTCCGGCCGCCTGCTTACTCGCTTGCACGCAAGCAGGACGGGAGGCCGCGGCACCTTTCCTCACGTGTTCCCCAGCAACTGGTGTAGGTAGGAACAGTGCCGCTGGTACGGGAGCTGGCACAGAGCCATGAGGACTAGGCGCATGAGTAGGGTCCTGCTCCGTGAATGTGAGCACTCCCCAAACTGGAAGCGACTCCCACGGTCCGGCGAGGGGCTGCGCGAAGATGTCCTGCCTTTGGTCTGTCCTGAACGGGGAGGCCCCCTGGATTAGGGGTGGGGGACATGGTCTCCCTGCGCGGACTTTCCTCGAAGCAGAAGGGCGCGCTCCCGTCCTCGCCAGGAGTCGCGCCACCCCTCGACGCCCCGCCAGCCTCGCCGCGTCCACCCATCCGCTCTGCCCCAGCCTCACCGCGGTTGCTCTGCAAGCTGCCGCCTCGCACAGGCTTCCGCGCGGCCCCGCGTTTCCTCCGCCCGGCGGCAGAGCAGGCAGCACCGGCCGGCCCTGAGCGGTCCCGAGGCGGCGGCTGCTCGCAGGACCCTTCCGTGAGCCCTCCGGGACGCGGCAACCTGCCAGCGGGCCCTTCCTCCGCGGCCACCCGATGTCCCCTCCGTGCCCTCGGCCCGCCCCCCTCTTCCGCCGGGGGCGCGCCTGTAGCTTTCAGAGCGCCAATTCCAGGCTGGGGGGCGGACACCCGCCTCCCCTTGTCCCGCCGCGGCGGCCCGTCGACGCGCAACCAACGGGAGCCCGGCCTGTCCCGCGGCGGCGGCATCCAGCCGGAAGCCTCCGGGCGCGCTTCTGCCGGACCGGCGTGCGGCGGGCGGAGCGGGGCCGGGCGGATCCCCGCCCGTGCTTCCCTCCGCGGATCCGGCGCCGGAGCGGGGATGGCCGCTTCCGGGGCCCGGAGCTGCGCCCGGCCACGGAGCCGCCTCCCTGCCGCCGCCGCCGCCGCCGCTCAGAACGGCCCCCGCCGTAGCACGCCCACTTTGCACAACTTGCTAAAAGCATGGGGCGTGAGGCGCGGGGGCGTCCCCGGAGCCCCCCCCCCATTGTAGCCAAATCATGGCAAAAGCTGGGCGAAGCGGGCACGAGGGAGCCCTCCCCGCGCCGCCCCGCGCAGCAGTCGAGCGGGGCAAGTCCCGCCCCCTCCCCCCTCGGGCCAAACTTCTCGCCCCCGGGCACAGAGGACTTGTGTCAGCGGCCGATTCCCAGCTGGCGGGGCGGAGCGCGTGGTGCCTGCGCGCCTCTGGCCGGCACGTCCTCTCCCTGCGCGCGTGCACGCTCGCTCGCACGCACACGTGTGTCGGGGCAGAGGCGGCTGTGCTCGCTCTCCCTCCGATGCCTCCGAGCGGGGGGGGGGCATGGCAGGGGAGAAGGAGGCGCTCGAGGGACCCACCCCGTGCGGTGCGCCCTCGGTCCCGACGCGCTCGAGGAGCCGAGCAGGACTCTGCACACGTCAGCGCCTCTGGGGGCGGGGGGGCCGCGCTGGACGCGAGCTGTCCCCGGGGAAAACGCTGCGGCTGCGCTGCCCCGGGGGGGGGGTCTGCGGCAGGCGTCTCCCCGTTGCATCAGGGCGCACCCGCTTCCTCTGGCCGCCGCCCGCGCCGCCCCCCCCGCCGCGCGAAGGGTCCCCGAGACCCCCTGGCGACCGCACGGGCTGCCCGCGCTCTCTGGCTGACATCTGTGCCGCGCCGAGCCCCGGCGGGAGGGAGCCGAGCGGCTGGCCGGGCCGAGGACCCCCGAGCGCTCCGCCCTGCCTGCGATTCGGAGGGTTTCGAGGCGGGAAGCCCCCCGCCCCACTTCCAGCATTGGCCGGCGGGGCGCTGCGGGCGGCCCACGGGGCCTGGTGGCCCGAATCTTTTGGCTGCAGCCGGAGATCCCGGGGGCGCCCTCAGCCCCAGCACCTGCGCTGCTTCCGCTCCAGAGGCGCTTGCTGCCAACGACCCCTGGCCCCGGACCAGCCGGTGGCGGGAGCGGAGGCACCGCCTCTTTTGCGCCCCCCGAAGCCGTCCTGAGCCCCCCCTTTCCAGGAACCCGTGGCCTCCGCTCCGCTGTCCACACAACCCCTTTTGCAAATAAGGGCGCCCGCAGCAGGCGGGGCCCTTGAAAGACGGAGAGGTTGGAGCGCGTGTCCATCAGCGCAGGGGAATGTCCGCATTGTGCCTTGCCCTTCCTGCCGCTGAGCCCCGTAATCCGCCCCGGGGCAGGGGAGGTGCCCCCCAGCAGAGGCGAAACTGCCCCCCCCGGGTCCTGGAGCTCCCGGCAAGGCCGCCCAGCCTCGGCCCCTTTAGCGCAGGACTCCCTCCACCGGCCGGGCCTCCCGCGCCATGGACTGCGCAGGGCAGGCGCAAGAGCCACGGAGCCCCCAGAGAGCCGGAGGGGAGGCTTGTCCCAGGCGGTGCCTGCTCCCCCCTCCGGTCCCCGGAGGCCTCCCCCCGCCCTGGCCATCCTGAGCTCCCCGAGGAAGTTGGCTGGGCAGGAAGGGGAGCGGGGGGGACCGTCCAGGAAGAAGGGCATGACCTGGGGGAAAGAGGGCTCCGCGAGGCCGCGGCGCGGAGAAGCAAGGCGGGGAGCAGCCCCCCCCCCCCGAAAACAAAGGCTTCCCTGTCTCAGACGCGTCCTACCCGGGTCCCTCTTGGGACCGAGCAGCCAGGCGGCTTGGCGCGCGGGAGCTGGAGCGGGCAGACCCCGCGGCCCAGCGCTGGCCAGGCGCTGAGGTCACTTCCCGGCCCCGGGGGGGGGGGGGGCGTGCCAAAACGGGGGGCCTGCGGGGCGGGTCCCCCCCCCCCCCCCCCCGCCCCATGGCAGGGACCCGCTCGGTAGCAGCGATGCGCCGACTCCCGTGGGCCGCGCTGGCTCGGGCCCAGCCCCTCTCGCTTTCCCAGCCCTCCGCTCCCCCGCCCGAGCCGGCGGTCCCGTCCTGGCTGTAACGAGAAGCAGATGTGCGCCGCTGGGGGAGGGGCGGCGCAGCAGACCCGGAGCGCAGAAAGCCCCGGCCTGGCTGGCCGGGGGTCGGGGGGGGTGGCGCTGAGCGGCGGTGCCGAGCCTGCCAGGGCGAGGGCGCGTCGCGCAGCGGGGGCAGGGACGCCCGGGACGGGCGGCGGCGGGCGGGGGGCAGGGCGCGGGGCCCGGGCTGCCAGGCAGGAAGTCGGGGGGAGCGCGCCAGCCCAGCCCGCGCCGGGAAGTTGCAGAGCTGTCAGAGTGCGAGGAGCGAGCGAGCGAGCGAGCGAGCGCCGAGCGCCCAGCAAGCCCGTCCGCTGCGACGGCTCGGCTCGGCTCGGCTCGGGAGCGCGGCCGGAGCGCGGCAGCCAGCGAGCGAGCGAGCGAGCGAGCGAGAGGGGGGCGGCTCGGCGCGGCTCGGGCTCCCCCGCGCGCGGCGCGCCGCCGGCCCTGCCCCGGGCCCCGCGCGGCCATGTGCAGCTGACCCGCCCGGCCGGCCGAGGAGCGACGAGGAGCGCCATGGCCAGCCCCGCCGCCCTGCTGTGGCTCTGCGCCTGCGGGGGCCTCCTGGCCGGGCAGGCCGGGGCCCTGAACTACCCTCCCCGGTACAGCCTGTACACGGGCGCCGCCCTGCCGTTCATGCAGCTCCAGGGCCCCTCGCAGGCCCCTGGCGGCACGCGGGTCGCCAGCCGCCACAGGTAAGGCTGCGTCTGGCCGCCGGGCTGGGCCCGCACAGGGCAGGGGGTGGCCGCCAGTGTCCTGGGGCTCCGGGCCGTTCGGTGGCCGGCCGGGGGTGGCCGGGGCCTCTGCAGTCCCGGCCCTGTGGAGGGGCCTTCGGGGGGTCTCGATGCCGTCCTGCAGGCTCAGCAGGCCCCTTGCCTGGGCTGGCGGGCAAGTGGCCAGCTGCCCTCTTCCTCCGGGGCCTGGGGGCCCAGCTAGAGGGGCTGGAGCAGAGGCGGGGGGGAGGCAGGGGCATCCTTGGCTCCCACGCTTATTTACGTCCTCCACTAGCCCAAGCTGGCAGGAGCTGAGCCACAGGTGCCTGGAAGGCAGGCATCTTTTGGCTGCCCACGGCTCCCTCCCAGGCCGGGCCAAGAGAGACGGGCAGGCTGCCGCAAGGAGGGCTCGGTCCTGGGCAGGGGGAGGAGGCCAGTGGGCATGTGGGGAGGGGCCCTTGCTGGGGGGCTGCTGTGGGGGCAGCCCTGCTCGGCACCCCCAGAGATGGGGCAGGCGACACAGCAGCCACGGCCCATGAGGGGCCTTGGGCCTCCCTCCAGGCCTCCCCTTCTGTTGGGGAAGCGATTCGCCTGGCCAGGGTGGGAGAGCGCTTGTCGGCAGGGCTGGGGGGTCGGTGCCTGTGGGGGGCTGGGCACTGCGGAGGCTGCTGGAGAGCAAAGCAGGGGCTGCGCTGGAAGGCCCCAAAATGGAGATCCCTGTGAGGATGGGGGAGGGGCAGGGAGGATGAGGAGGGGGCCTGTGGTCCGTTTGCTCACAGCAGAGCACTTTGGATGCCCTCCGTGCTGGGGGGGGAGAGGGAGCGGAAGCAGCCGAGCGGCTTTGGACGGGGCCCAGCCGTGGGGGTTGCGCGGCGAGTCAGGTTTTTACACATCTGCAGAGGGGCGTCAGCAGTAGCTTCTCTTGGGCAGAAAAGGGGGCTCAGCAGTGGAGGGGCGGGGAGAACCCCAGTCAGAAGAGTTCGGGTCATCTGCCTAGACCACCGCTGTTCCCGCACCCCTTCACCGCCTCCGGGAGCTTCGCCACTGGCCGAAAGAGGCAGCCTCCCCAGAGCTCCTGGGAGCCAGGCCCCTTCTGCTGGGCCGCGCTGGGGTGCTGGAAGCCCAAAACTCGCTTTTGATTAGCCAAGCGGGTGACACGCCCTCCGAGCTGCTTTCGGGTGAAGCTTCCAACAATCATCATGAAAACACACAGAAACACGCAGGCCGCAACTGTAAACCGAAAATAGCTGCCAGACAGAAATAACACATTGTCTCAGATCTCCCAAACTTGTCCAAACCATGCTGGAAACTCCCAATGGAGGAGGGCTGCCCCCCCCCCCCCCCCCCCAGCAGATCACAGCCAGGCAGAGGGAGCCGTGTGAAGCTCAGCGGCTGGGGCTGAGGCGCCCTGCCTTCCAGCTTGCCTCTGCGTCCAAAGCCCCCGCCCTCGAGAGCGCTTTTCGGGCCAGGAAGGCGCTCCACACGTGCTGCCGGAGCACAGGAAAAGCACCTGGAGTGGAGAGGGCCCTCCTGATGCAAAACACCCGGATTTCCTCCGGTGACAAGAGCAACTCAGCAATAATTAACTGGCAAAGGACAGCCTGTCGCTGGCACAGGCCGGCCGAAGCCGGGAGTGGCCAGCAGAGCAGCAGGCTGGCCTCCGCCGTCCGTGTCCCGGGCCAAGCCCCCCTCCCTCGGCCAAAGGTCCCCAGGCCTCTGGGGCCAGCGAGCCTTTCTGCCAGTGGGCAGGCGGTCCGGCTGTGGCTGCGGCTGCTACAGGGCGGCGGGGCAGGGGCTGCCTCACTCTCTGGGGGAAGGAGCATGCGGAGGCTCTCGGAGGCCGAAGCACAGCAGGGCAGCCCCGGATCCCGGCCTGCCTGGGAAGCCCCACGTGCTCCCACCCGGCATCGGGGCCCGGCCCAGGCGCTGCAAGCAGCCCCCTGCCACGCTGACACCTCACTGTCCGTCTGGGCCTCCCTCTGGGGCCCAGCTGGCACATGGCCCTCTCCGGAAAATTTGCAGCCCGATGGCGAGGGGCGGCCCTCGGAGTTTCCCACAGTCCAGCACCCTCCTGCCCGGCGAGGCAGCCCTTCCTAAGCAAAGCAAACCAGATCGTGGGAGAATCATACAAAGAATAATAGGACGGATGGGATGGGCTATTCTGGGATGGAGCGAGCTTGGGAGGAAACCAGGTACTGAAATAGTCTTTCCTCTGCCAGGCCGGTTCCCAGCGCTTCACATCAGGCTGGTGCAGGGGCTTCTGGCCACCTCGTCTGTGTGCCAAGCTGGCCCACTGGCTTTCAGCAGGATCCGGCAGCGTCCCCAAGGCGGCAGAGCCATGCACGCCTCTGGCAGCAGCCACGGTCCCGTGCCAAGGCCCGGCTGCTTTTCCCCAGGGACTGACTCCCCCCAGATGTGTCCGTCTCCCTGCTCCCCCTGCTCGCCTCCGGCCGGGCCAAGCAAGACCTTGGCACAAGCAGGACGGGGCAGAGGGAACCGGGCTCGTCCCTCCGCCCTGAGAAACATATTTGGCCTGTGCACCGAGTGTTCCTTTTTTCATTTCATGTTCAGTCTGCCTAATAGCTGAAGCTCTCCATTGGGTTGCGACAGATTGAGACATAAAGTACAGTGCACCACAGAATATAAAATTTAAGCGGTTTAAAAGTGAGAACCAGAGAAAGACCTTGCAGCAGTGTGAAGACTGCAAATGCAGAACTGAAAAGAGGCTGAAGCAGAAATTCCCGGGGAAATAGGGAGGGCTTCACTTGGAGCAGGAAAGAGTAGGTGGCCAGGTGGCAGGTGAGCCTCGCGGGAAGCCCTTCCATGGCTAGGTTGCTGCAGCAGAAGGGCCGCCCAAGCGCCCCCACCCCCCGCCAAGGCCGCTGAGACGGTCCTGGGTGTGACGGTCTCGTGAGCGGCTCAGCCTGGGGGAAGCGGTGGAGCATGGGCCTCGTGGCCGAGCCATCCCCACGCGGGGGACATTCGGGGTCAGGTTCAAGCCGACGTGGGGTTGCGTCGCCTATTCCGCGTGGCCCCACAGCCTCACCCGAGCGAGTGACCAGCAGCGTCTGGGCAGCCTGGCAGCATCCGAGAGCCGCAGAGCAGCGTGGCGGCCCAGCCATGCTCACCGGTCCAGCACCCCTTGGCCCAGCAGGCAGCGAGGCAGCAGGCGGATGCCGCCAAGGAGCGCTGTCGGAATGCGCAGAGGTCTGGCCCCGACTCGGCCGTGGGGCCATGGAACGGCCCGGGGCCGGCCCGTCTGCGGCCGTGTGCCAGGCCCGAAGGAGGGCATGCTGCTTGGCCCAGGCGGCTAGTGGGGGGCCAGGGGCAGAGGGGGCAGGGACAGGCTGCAGGCTGATCGGGGCTTTTCTATCCTACCCTCCTTCCAAGGCACCCAGATGGTGCTCCTCCCGCTCCCCATTTAGTCAGGCTGAGCGAGCGCCGGGCCCAACCTCCCAAGCGTGGAAAGACCATGCGTCAGAAGGAACCTCCCGGGCCATCTAGCCTGACCCCCAGCTCCACCCGGCTCCACTTGAGTAATCCCCAAGGTGTGGGAGCCCAGTCTTTTCTTGAATGCCTCCACAGATGGGGCCGTGGGAGCCCCTCCCATGCCCTGGGGTCCTGAGCAGCCCGGGGTGGCTTCCAGGATCCGCCTCTCCATTTTCTCCTCACAACAACCACCCACATCGACCACAGAACAGGCAATCTGGAAGGGGCCAGAAGGCCCTGGGGCCCAACCCCTGCTGCTGCAGGACACCGGTTCACACCATCCCAGTTTCCCCTTGAATGCCTCTAGTGTGGGAGAGCCCCCCACCTCTCTGGGCTGCTGGTTCCCCTGCCGTGCTGCTCTGACAGTCGGGACGATTTTCCTGATGTCCAGCCTGAATCTGGGCTGTCGCAACTTGAATTGATTCTTCCATGTCCTGCACTCTGGCGTCAGCCAGAAGAGATCCTGACCTTCCTCTTTGTGGCAGCCTTTGAGGTACTTATAGAGGTATATCATGTCCCCCCTCAGTCTTCTCTTCTCAGGGCTGAACATGCCCAGTTCCCTCAGTCTCTCCTCACAGGGCAGTGTTTCCAAGCCCTGGATCATTCTTGCTTCCCTCCGCTGGACCCTTTCAAATTTTTCTGCATCTTTCTGAAATCTTGGTGCCCAGAACTGGACACAGGATTCCTGATGAGGTGATAACTCAAATCCTAACCTTGTGAGGCAGGCTAGGCTGAGTGTCACCCCATAAGCTTCATGACTGGAACCTTGATCTTCCATCTGCCATTCGGGCATTCACCACTGTGCCACCCTGGCTGTGAGATCCCAGGCCCACCCCCAAAACCTCGTCTCCTCCTCTCATTCCAAATGGATTGAGGAACATCTCCCTAGTGACTGGGGGGGGGGGTCACACTCTGCACATGCCTAGCGGAACTCCCCGAAGAGAAAGCCTTTGAGTATGTCTCTTGAATGCTTGATATTGCGCCTCCCTCTTGCTTAGCTTTTCGGCCTCGCGGGGCATGAACTTTGGAAGCGGCGCTGGGCATGTGGTGGCGAGGGAGGCTGGGCTGGCTCCAGGGCCAGAGTGAGGCCACGAGGGCAGCTGCAGCCGGGCCCTGCCCGGGCGCCCACCCTCCCGCCCTCCCCTGCAGGAACTGGTGCGCCTACGTGGTGACCCGGAGCGTGAGCTGCGTGGTGGAGGACGGCGCCGACACCTACGTGAAGCCGGACTACCAGCCGTGCGCCTGGGGGCAGCTGCAGTGCCCCCGCGTCATCACGTGAGTGCGGGGCGGGCAGGCCAGCCCCCAGCCGGGGCGTCCCTCAGGGCCACGGCGGTGCCCCCGAGTGTGTGCCACGCTCCGGGCACCGCTGGCTGGGTGGAGCGCGGGGTCACGGCCTGCACGGGCAGATGGAGGGGAGCGGCCGGATGCCCGTGGCTGCGCCCGGCACGTCCAGCCCCTGGGGAAGGCTCAGCCGGCCGAGCTGCCCGGAGGGCGAGTGCACAGGAAGGGAGCGGCCGCCCCCTGGCGGCGGCGTGCAGAACTGCGAGGACAGGTGGCCACGGGCAGTGAGGCTGGGCGGCAGACACATCTGTCCGTCGGGCTTCTCTCCAGAGCCCAGCCCTTGCGGCGACCTGCGGGGAGGCAGAGCTGCTGAAGGGCCGGCTGGGGCTGCGGGAACGGCACCCGCCCGGCTCTCAAGGCCGAGGGGCCAATGCCACGCAGGGGGCACCGGGGGCCCAGGAGTACCGCCCCGAAGGCCTCCCCCAGCTCCTTACCCTAGTCGTGTCTCCACCGGGCAGGTATCGGAGCTTTTTGCGCCCGCGCTACAAAGTGGCCTATAAGACGGTGTCAGACATGGAATGGCGCTGCTGCCCCGGATACTCCGGAGACGACTGTGCCGAAGGAGGGACGCCACTCACGACCGCCCGGCCCCGCCCCCAGCCAGCGCGACCCAACCTGTCCGGCTTCAGCAGCACGCTCAGCGGCCTGGGCGGGGAAGGTACGCTGGACGGGGCAGCAGGGGGAGCCGCCCCCCCCCCCAGCCACTGTCCGCAGGAGCACAAGAGAGCCCTGTGCCTTGAACGGGTGTGTGTGTGGGGGGGGGGGGGGCTAGCAGGGGCCCTTTTCCCGCTCCTGCACAAGCAGCAGTGCCTGCCCCTCCTTCCCTCGGGAGAGCAACGGAACCAATGCTCCCCCGCATGAGGCCAGCTTCCACATGCCCAGCGGCCTTGGGGAAGGATCTGAAGCACTGACGCAGAGGCCAGCCGGGCAGGGGCACAGCACCCCGCGACCAGCGGTCCTGGAGAAGCCCTTTGCAGGGTGAGCCTCTGCTGGCTTCCCCGAGCGCCTGGCCGCGGCTGCCGAAAGGGGCCCCCGGAGGGCCCCCGGCCGGCACTGCTCTCCGCCTGGGTGAGGAGGGCCGGGCAGCGAGGATCCATGGCAGGGTGGCGCCCGTGCCCACGGAGGGAGGGCGCAGTCGGAGAGCCGGGTCCCTTCCTCTGGGCCCCACTGTGTGGGCGCGGGGCGGGCCTGCCCGCAGCACCAGCGACTCTGGCCAGTGCAGGGCTTGCGGGCGGCCAGGCGCTCCTGAGCCGGCTCTGCTCCTCCTGGCAGGGCGCAGGGAGGCGGAGAAGGTGCAGCGGCTGGAGGAGGAGGTGCAGGCCCTGAGCAAGCAGCTGCAGGAGCTGCAGGCGTCCGTGGGCGCCAGCAACGCCAGGCTCACCGAGGACGTGCGCCGCGCGGTCGAGACCTCGCTGAACGGCCGGCAGCCCGCGGACGCCGCCGCCGCCCACCCGGAGATGAAGGAGACGCTCAGCGAGATCCAGCGCCACCTGCAGCGCCTCGACAACCGCATCACCAGCCAGGAGAACGGCGGGCCGGGCGCGGGCGCCGACGTGCGCGGCGAGGTGCTGCGCGCGGTGGAGCGCCGCCTGCAGGAGTCGTGCGCCTCCTGCCTGGCCGGCGTGGAGGCGCTGCGGCGGCGGCAGGACGAGGACCGCGACCGGCTGTGGGCCCTCGAGAAGCTGGTGGCCGAGGAGGGCCAGCGCAGCCGCGACGCCGCCGCCGCCCTGCAGCGCCACGCAGCCCGGGACTGCTGCGCGCAGGCGGAGAGCCGCGCGGCCGCGCTGGAGCGCCGCCTGGACGCCGTGGCGGGCGCCCTGGCGCGGCTGCAGGACCAGGTGCTGCCGGGCGGCCGGGGGGCGCCCGCGCCCGCGGACCGGCGCCTGGCCGAGGTGGAGAGCCGCGTCAACGCCACGCAGCGCGGCCTGGAGGAGCGCCTGGCGGACCTGCACGTCTTGCAGGCCGGGGCCGACCAGCGGCTGCGCAGGGCGGAGGAGCGGCTCGACTCCGCCTTCTCCCGCCTCAACGACTTCCAGAGCCAGGTGAACCGGGCGCTCGCCAACCTGTCGCGGGACGTGGGCGCCCTGAAGGACAGCAGCCTGCAGCAGCAGGGCGCCCTGGAGCAGGTGCGCGGCGCCGTCCGCTCGTGCGCCCAGCTCTGCGCGCCGGCGGGCGGCGCCCCGAGCGAGCTGGAGCGGCGGGTGCTGAGCCTCGAGGAGCGCCTGCGCCGGCTGGGCCCCGACCTGCCCGGCACGCTGCGCGGGCTGCACGGGCTGGTGGGCTCGCAGGGCGAGGCCCTGAGCAAGCTGGCCGGCGAGCTGAGCGCGCTGCAGGGCCGGCTGGCGGGCGCCTCGGGGCCCCCGGAGCTGCTGCCCGCGCACTTCAACCACACGCGCCAGCGCCTGGACAGGCTGGAGCAGGCTCTCAGCGACCTGGCGCTCCAGCCGCCCTGCCGCCCCGCCTGCCCCGAGCTGCGCGCAGAGGTGGAGCGGCTGCGCGAGCAAGCGCAGGAGTGCACGGCCAGCTGCCAGCCGGGCGAGCCGCCCGGCGTGGCCCCCCGGCAGCCCCTGGACGGCTTCAGCGTGATCGGGGGCAGCTCCGGCGTCCACCTGCAGTCGCTGCAGGGCGAGCTCTCGGAGGTCATCCTGGGCTTCAGCTCCCTCAACGAGACGCTGGCCGGCCTGCAGGCCACCATGGAGAAGCACGCCACCGACATCCACGAGCTGGGCGCCACCAAGGACCGCATCATCGCCGAGATCAACCGCGTGCAGCAGGAGGTGACGGAGCACACGGGCGAGAGCGAGGAGCGCTTCCAGGGGCTCGGCCGCGAGATCCGCCACTTCGGGGGCGCCCTGCGCGGGGAGGCCTCCGACTGCCGGCGTGCCAGTGGGGGCCTGGCCGACCGGCTGGCCAAGCTGGAGAGCACCTGCGACCGGCTGGACCAGGTGTCCGGCAGCCTGCGGAAGATCAAGGAGGGGCTGGACAAGCACGTGTCGGCCCTCTGGGGCTGCCTGCGCGAGGTGAACGGCACGCTGCGAGAGCACGGGGCGCTGCTGGACAAGATCCACGGGGGGCAGCTGGCCACGCTGTCCGGCCGCCTCGGGGCCCTCAACGGCTCCCTGCGGGGCGTGCAGGAGCAGCTGCAGCACCTCCTGGGCCAGGACCACACAGGTACCTGCTGGGGGCACAGCCGCCGTACCCCGCTCGGGCCCTCGGGGCTGTCTGTGGGCCGGGGGACTCACTTTCCTGTCCCCTTTCAGGGCCGCCAGGACTTCCGGGACCAGCTGGCCTGCCGGGCAGACCTGGGCTCCCGGGCCCAGTGGGACCACCTGGCAAGGATGGGCAGTCAGGCCCTGTGGGGCCCCCAGGTGAGGGGCTGCGGCGCCAGGTCTGCTGTTCTGCTGCCATCTGGGGCGGCCGTCTGCCCCACAGCTGGGCTGCGGACACTTTTGGCAGCCGGGGGTGCCAGCCGGTGACACCGCGAGTGTGAGCCCCCAAGGCTCTTTGCAGGAGGCGGGGAGCGCTCCAGGGGTGGGCTCGTGGGTGGGTGAATGTGCTGCCTGGTTGAATGGGGCAACAAGGCAAAGGCCCCCAGGACATATGGCTGGGAAGAGGCGGGCTCCCGGGTGCCACCCCGCCAGGGAAGCGTTTGCCAGGGAGGCAGGAGGGGCGGAGCAGCCCCAGGGCTGGGACCGGGCCAGGGTGCCCTGCGTCTCCCTCCCCTCGATGGCGGCCTCAGGCCCTGCAGAGCAGGCAGCCTCCCAGTGGCGCTCAGCCTGCGCTGCAGCCCCTGCAGGGGCCATGCCAGGGGCGCGGGGACAGGGCTAAGCGGCGAGGCAGGGGCTGCCGCACCCCTCAGCCCCCTTGGCGGCCCCCGTGCTCATCGGGTGCCCTTTTCTCCTGCAGGTCTGCCTGGAGAGCAAGGTAAGGGCCTGGCTCAGCTGATGGGGAGGGGAGGGGAATGGTCGGCACCATGCACTGCTGTGAGCAGGGAGCCCAGGAAGCTGCGCTCCGCGGATCAGGCCCGGCCAGCTGGCTGTGCGTTGTCTGCCGCAGCCAGGAGGAATGCAGGTGGACGCGGTGGGTGGCGCAGCTCCCAGAGCCGGTGCTGCGGCGAGGGTGGGCCCCACCGTCCCCGGCCTCCCCCTCCTCTCCCTGCTGCAGCTGAGCCCCACACTCTCAGGAACACCGGGTGGGCTCCGCGATGGGAGGGGACCTTGGGGCCGGGCCCTGTCCCGAGTCCCTTGTGCCCAGACGGCTGCGTTTCCAGCAGGACTTCCGTCTGCGGGTTCCCGGTGGTTCTGCGCAGCCGCTCGCAGGCAGGGCAGGTGCGGGGCCGGAGCCGGAAGACGGCGGGAGCCCCTCGCCGGCCGTGGGGCTCGCGGGTGGCTGGGCAGCCGCAGCCTCTCAGCCGAGCTCACCACAGAGGGCCCTGTGCGGAGGGAGGGGAGGCAGAGGGGGACTTCGCTGCAGACGTGGGCGCTTGGGAGGACAGGCAGCTGCTCCAGGAGGCGCAGGCGGCCACTGCACCGGTGCAGCCCTGACTGCTGGGTCAGTGTGCCAGGGAAGTGGTGGGCGAGCCTGACCGCGGTCCACCGGGCGTGATGCCCTGATGCCAGTGGCCCACTGGTTGCATTGCCCGGGCGGCCAGTGACAGAGGAGTGCCCGGTGACCTTCTGGGCACGTGGAGCTGGGGTTGCAGAGGATCACGGGAGTGGGGGGAGGAACGGGTGGCCAGGGTGCCCCTGAGAATGCCCACTGCACCCTCTGCCACAGGCTTGCCGGGTCCCGCGGGGACAGTGCCCCAAGTCTCCTTCGCAGCGGCTCTGACCACGTGGCACATGCAGGCGGGAACCATCACCTTCGACAGGGTGCTGGTCAATGACGGAAATTTCTACGACCCGGACTCAGGTGAGTGGCCGCAGGCAGGGGACTGACGGGAGGGGGCAGCGGGCAGTCCTCAAGAGCCTCCAAGGAGCTTCTGCGGCCGGATCGCCCGTGGGCCACCCCCGCCCGGCATCTGCTTCCCGTGAGCAGGCGGCCAGCCCAGCGCCTGGGAAGGGCCGTGGAGATGGACGTGCGTGCTGCCACCTCCAGCCCTGCAGGGCGCCAGCAGCAGCAGGGGTGTCCCCTGCCCCCTGGCTGAGCTATTCGCGCTCCGGCCCTCTGTGGGGTCCACATGCACCCGCAGCCGAGTTCCGTGCCCAGCGTGCATCGCGCTGCATCTGTGCGCCACGGTGGATGCTGGGCTGGGTGGTGGAGGAGAGTGCCCGGCCTGCCTGGCCTCCCCACTGCGGACACACCTCTTCTGCCCACAGGGATCTTCACAGCCCCTGTCCCGGGGCGCTACCTGGTCAGCGCCATCCTGACGGGGCACCGGGGGGAGAAGATTGAGGCGGTCCTCTCACGCTCCGGCCAGGCCATCGCCCGCAGCGACTCGGCCGGGTACCAGCCAGAAGGCCTGGAAAACAAGCCCGTGGCGGAGCGGCAGCCGAGCGCAGGGGCCTTGGCCGTCTTCACCCTCGTCGTGCCCATGGAAGCGGGGGAGACCCTGTGCGTGGACCTGGTCTCCGGCCAGCTCGCCCTCTCTCCGGACGAGCCGCTGACGGTCTTCAGTGCAGCCTTGCTCTATGAGACGGAGCTGGGTCTCTAGGGAGGCTGAAGCGGGCCCTCGGCCCAGCCTGCGGAGAGGGGCCAGCGAGCCCCAGCTGCAACCGCAGCCCGGTCCCTGCCTCCCCCTCCGAGCTGCCGCTGCAACGACCCGGCCCGTCTGCTGCCCAGAGCTTCGGCTGACGGCCAGCCGGGGGGCAGGAGGAGGGGTCCCCTGCAGCACCGAGTCCTCCTGCCCTGCTCGGCCCCCCGGACGCCCCCGTCCCCCGCCAGCCCGGAGGCACAACGCGAGCAGAGGCACCGCCTCCCCAGAGGCATGCGGGGGGAGCTTGGGGGCACCAGCGCCTGCCCCTCGGCCTTCTGGGCGGCGGTGCTGCCTGCAGAAGACATGGCTGGAGCCACCCCAAGCCTGGAGCAAAGGGAGGGGGGGGCCTGCTGTTGCTGTTATTTATCTGCGTCTGTCGTCCGCGCGCGCGTGCCCTTCCCGGTCCCTTCCTCCTGCAGCGCTGGCCACGTCCGTCCCTCACGCAGCCCCCGCCTTGCTCACGCTTTTCACCCCAGGCCATGCAGCGCTGCCCAGAGCCGCCCCCCCCCCCCCCGCCGTGCCTGCTGCCCACGGGCTCCTGGCTTCCATCCCAGCGACCCTGCAGCCTCGGATCTGTGAAGGGAGGAGAGTCGCCAGCAGATGCAAGCAAGGGAAAGAAATGGGGGGGGGGGAATGCCCCCCAGGGCATGTCTCCTGTGTGGGCCACTCCTTATGTATGCCCTGTATAATGGTCAAACTCAGCTATCAGTATGATGATAAAGAAACACACCCTTTTTTTAAAAAACCGCCGTGTTTTGGCTTTCGTGCGCTCGTTTTCATTTCCCCTCGGGGGAATCCCTGCTGCCATCCGCCCTGCACCATCCTAGTCCCAGAAGTGCTTTGCAGAATGACATAAGCAGAAGTCAGGTCCCTGCCCCAAGGAGCTTACATTCTCCACTTCAACAGAAACAAGGGCAAGAGAAGCAGGTATTCTTCAGTGCGGCTAAATGTGCTCCACACAGTGGCGTCCTGTTTCGGACTGAGTTCTCGAGGCAGGCACCAAGGGAATCGGGAGGGCAGGTTCGGGAGCGGGGGGCGGGGAAAGGGGCAGGATTCTGCCTGAGAGGTCTTGCTCTCGGCCCTCTCTTTGCTGTGACCCAGGCGAGGAGGCTCAGCGGCCGGGCAAGCCCGTTTTCCGCAGCACCTTGGACAGAGCTGCCCTGGGGCCGCTCCCGCTCTCAGCCTTTTGGGTGGACGAGCCAAACAGAGGCCATGTAGACTTGCCTATGGCCGGGACGACGTGGATTTGCTTGGGGGCCGCAGAGGGACACCGTGCTGGCTGGGGTCAAGCGGAGGATAAAGGTTTCAGTAGCAGAAGCGCCACACCTTCCTCTGACCCTGAGAAGAACCCTGAGCCCCGTGTCAGGATCTGGAGACCCATCCACCGGCGTGCGCAGACGTTCTCCTGGTGTGGCTGCTTCGGGGATGCCGGAGAGCAGCTGGTTGCGTTCGCAGCCGCGCTCGGCCCGTGGAAGAGGAGCGGCAAAGCGTGGAAGCGCTACGGCCGAGGAAGCAGGCACTGTGAGCCGCTGCTCTGGCGTGTGACTAACCAGCCACTCCCTTTACACTGTATCCCTGTATCCGAGCACAGCGGGGTGCTGGAGGCTAAACGCCAGCCTTAAAAGGACATGGACGTGGACGTGGACAGGCGGATGGAGCCATTTCCATGGTGCGGGTGGCAGTTGCCGAAATCGCCCACGGGGGTGTGCAAGGGGCCACCAGGCCGCTCTGCGCAGAGTCGCACCTCCGGCCGCTGGCTGCGCCTCCGGCGTCGCTCGGGTCACCTTCCACAGGGCGGCAGTGGCGGCGGCGGCTTCACAGCCACCCAGAGGTGTTGGCTGCCTCCTCCCGGGGGTCGCGGAGCGTGGCCTCCACACGGCAGCCGCCACGCCGGGCCCCTCCCGGCAGGCGCGCCCTGCAGCCCCCCCAGATGCAGCCGCCGCCTCCCCCTTCTGTTGCCGCGCAGATGTGGGTGGCCAGCAAACACCAGCGGCTTCCGAGACGCTCCCAGCAGCTTCCCGCAGCCCCTTCGGTCTCTGGCGCCCCGACACCAGATCCGCGAGGGAAGCTCTCCAGAGGGGCTCTGCAGCTCTTCGCGGCAGACTTGGTGGCACGGGGTGGACGGAGGACTCTCCCGTCCCCACAGATCCGGCTCCTCCGTCTACCTGGTGGAACCTCACCAGCGCCGTGGAAGGAGTCGGGGCTGCTCTCCTCGCAGGTCCCCCCAGGTGAGCGGCAGGCAGGCCAGAGGGGCCTTTGGAGGGAGCCGGGGGGGGGGGCTCGGGTGCCCCAGCCCTCCTGATGGAGCCACGGGCAGGCCGGTCACGGGGAAGGAGTCCGGTCCCGGGGACTCCAGGGCAGGCAAGCGCCCCCCCTGGGGAATCTGTCGGTCCCACCTTTTCCACGGGCAGAAACGGACTCACGGGCCAGGCCCCTTGGCCACCGCAGCAGGGAGGCGGCTCAGAGGTGCCCCTGTGGGCAGGAGGCGAATGCCGGCTTTAATCCCGTCCCCAAGTGGAGGCGGGCGCGAGGCAGCCACACCTGCCCAAGCAAGGAGGCCGCTCCACAGGGAGTCACAGCAGCACTGAAGAGTTGAGTCGGAAGGGGCCACGGGCCCAGCCCCCGCTGCTGCAGGACACCACGTCACACCATCCTGCTCAGTCTTCGGTTTCCAGCCCAGGGCTGGCCAAACGGACTTTCCAACCCTTAAAAGCCCAGCTCCTTTCCTTTCCAAGGACAGGCAGGTCCTGGGTCTGGGGCAGCTGCCCCAAAGGTAGGTTTGCTTTTGTTACATTGAGGTTCCACTGTTTCCTCCAAGGAGTCCAAGTCAGCGTGTGTCACCCTGCTTCCCCTGCCCATTTTATCTTTACAACAAGCTTGTGAGGTAGGCTAGGCTGCACATCGGTGCCTGCCCCACAGCCCCCTGGGGCACTGCGAGGCCGAGCGGAGGCTTGGTGACCTGGGGTCTCCCCACTCCCAGCGTAACCCGTCGTCCTGGGCAGACCCCACGGAGACGAAGGTGCCCTCCGGGAAGCGCCTCTGCTTGCAGAGCTTCCGCCCGTGTCCCGCGTCCTGCGGGGATGGCCTCCCCGGCGGCTCGTCGCGTGGAGATGGCATGCAGAGTGAGCGATCCGGCGTCAAGAGTGCAGACGGCTCCTCAGCGACTGTTTTCCTTCGCAGTCTGGCCCGTTCAGCAGCCGGACCAACAGGCTGGACGAGGCACTAGACGAGGCATTTGCAGGCCTTCCTCTGGAAATCGTGTTGTAATTTGCTTAACATATTTGTGTTTGCAATGCATCCCCTTTTGCTGACAAAATATGCGCCCGTCCCGGAGACTTCAGGAACTGCCCCCTAATAGACTCAGCCTGCTGAGACGTGGCTTTGGTGTGCTGCAGAGAGGCACTTGACCGCCCCCCCCCCCCCGGCCCTGCACGCCCCTTCCCTCAGGGCAGATGGGGCGCCAGGTGGGAGGGGTGGCCGGGGTCCCTTGGGCCTGTTCCAGGAGGGCCGCCTCTTGGCGTCCAGCAGCTGCCTTCTGCAGAGCGCGGGCTCCTGCCGGGTGCCCTCAGCGTCCGGACTGTGGCCACATGCAGAGCCATCCCGTGGACAAGGGCCAGCGCCAGGACCGCTGGGCGGCCGTCCCGGGGCTTTCGCAGAACCATAAGGCAGCAGAGCAGGAAGGCGCCAGGGGCCCGTCGGCTCCCAACCCTGCTCAGTGCAGGACCCCCAGTTACACCATCCCCTCAGAGGGCCGCCCAGCCACCCCTCGAATGCCTCCAGCGCGGGACAGCCCACCGCCTCCCAGGTCCGTGGTTCCATCACCGTGCCATTTTCCTTTCCATTTCCCCCGGAGTCTCGCTGGAACCCGGCAGCCTGTCTCCTGGGCCCGGGATCCCACGTCCAGCACTCGGGGAGGGCCCAGGAGAGTCCCCGCGCCTCCTCTTTGGGGCAGCCTCTGCACCGCAGCCTCACGCTGCTGCCACATCTGCCCACAGCTCCCCCTTCTCAGGCTAGGCTCGCCCAGCTCTTCCACTCTCTCCCCCCTGGGCTTCCTTTCCAGTTGCCCTCCCCGGCCCCTCTCCTGCTCATCTGCGTCATTCTTCACCTGCTGCGCTCAGAGCTGGATGCCTGGCCAGTGCTGAGTCAAGGCGAACGGCACTTCACATGAATTGGAAGCAATACTTCTGTTCATGCCACCTAAAACAGCGTTTGCCCTTTTTGAAGCCACACCACTGTTGACTCATCTCCAGCTTGCGATCTGCAACCATTCCAAGGCCCCTCTCCCTGGAGCCAAGTTTTCTCCGCCTCGAAATGATGCAGCCGGTGTCTTTTCCCAGGTGCAGAACTTGGCACGCGTGCCTTCTGGGTTTTGTTCAGTTGTTTTCAGCCCAGCGTTCCAACCTATCAAGATCCCTCGAGTCTTGTTTCTGTCTCCTGGGGTATTAGCTCTCCCACCTGGTTTTGAGCCATCTGCAAACCTGATAATTATTCCTGCGCTTCCTCATTCAAACCAAACAGAAATGCTGAAGAGCCCCGGTCGGGACGGAGCCTGCACTAGCCCACGTGTTACCCCCATGTGAGGAGGGGCAGCCGACGGACTTCTGCTGATCGCTAGCCGGGGCCTGGGCTCCGCTTGCCAGGAGCCCGGGACCCCACGTCCTGCATTCTGGGAGGGCCAAGAACCAGCTCCTCAAGCGCTTCCGGAGCGCTCTCCCGTCCCCCGCATTCTTCTCCTCTCTTCCGCAGGCGAGACATGCCCGGTGCCCCCCGCCTCTCCTCCCGGGGCTTCGCTTCTGCTCCCCGGAACGTCCTCCTCGCCCCCCGCTGAGCTCCTCGGCTTGTCTGCGTCTTTCCTCAGTGTGGTGCCCAGAAGGGGCTGCAGCGCTCCAAGTCCAGCCGCGCCCTCAGAAAGGGCAGCAGCCCCAGGACGCCCCAGCCCCGCCCTCAGCCGGCCCCCCACGTGTCCTCCTGGCCCTGCTTCTGCGAGAAGCATTCCCACGTCCCGCCGGGCCGTCCAGGGTCGCCGAGCGGCCCCTCGCTCCAGCCTCCCACCGCCTCCCGGTTGCACCGTCGCCTCGAGCGCCGGCGCTGCCCGGTTTTCCCCGCCCCGCCCCCCGCGAGCCCCGGGCAGCGCCGGCCCCTCCTCCTCGGTGTCCGCGCGCCCGCGCGGCCCCCATCCTCGCGACACGGAGAAGTGCGCCCCCACGTCCTGCCCGTCACCGGGAGCCGCCGCGCCCGGGCTCCTTCTCCCACGCCGCGCGCCTCCGTCGCCTCTCCTGCCGCCCCCCTCCCTCCACTCCGGCGGGGGGCGCCTGCCCACGAGAGGCCCAGGACCGCTTCGGTCCGGAAAAGGCTTTCGCCGCCTTTTCCCCGGGCGGGCAGGCCTCCCGGGACGAGGGGCTGCTGGCGGGAGCGGCCGCGCAGGCAGGTGCAGCTCGGGGGCCCCGTGACCCGGAGCAGCTCGGGGGTCGCTTTCCTCCTCTCTCCGGGGGCGCGAAGGCGGCTGCAGCGCCGGGCGCGCATGACGCACCGCTCGCCTGGCAACCGGCGCCGCGGCTCGGGAGAGGCGCGCTCTCCGCGGGGGCGCTGCGGGGAGGGGGGCGCAGGCCTCTTCCCGCGGCGGCCGGCCTTTCCCGGGCGCTCCTTGCGAGGGAAGAGGGGGCGGCCCGGCCCCAGCCAGGCCCGGCGAACGCGGCCGCGACTGCGGAGCGCGCTGGGCGCTTTTTCGGGCGCGGGGGTGCAGGGGCGCGTCTGCAACCCTTCGGGGGCCCTCCGCCCAGGAGCCCTCGGGCAGGGCCGCGGCGGCTGCCCCCGCACCGAAAACTGTCTCCGTCGAGCCGCCCCTGGGTGCGCGTGCTGGGCGAAGGGGCTGCCCGGGGCTCGGGTGCCCCACCGGGGGATGGAGGCTTGGCTCACCGCTGTCCCGGCGGAGCACCTCGCTTCGTGCGACGACCCCCCCCCCACCAGGATTTTCTCCAGGGACATCCGAGAGCTCCGTGTGCTGGGGGGGCGGGGGGCGGAAAGGGGCTGTGCTGCGCACGAGTGGCCCGGTAGTGGCCGGGGCTGGGGCGCCCCGCACGGTGGCACTCTGGGGGCAGAGGCGGAGTGGGGGGCTCCCCCCCAGACCATGAGGGAGGAGGCACCGGAGGTCCCAGAAAAGCATTTATTCCCCACTGGGGGGGCAGCACAGCAGGAGCAGCCGGGCACGGCGAGCCGGACACCCCGGCCTCGGCCAGGCGCGGGGGGGCGGCGCGGGGGCGGCGCGGGGCCACGGGCTCTCTGCGAGCGTCCTGCGGGGAGGGCTGCTGGCCTCCGCCCCATTCCAGGGTCCGGGCGCGGTGCCGGGGCAGCAGGGGCAGGCCCTCCTCCGCCTGTCCGGCCGGGGGTCAGAAGTCCTCGTCCCAGCCGGAGAACTCCTCCTCGGGCAGCTGCCGCGACACGGAGAACCTCCTGAAGTTGGCGTAGCAGGGGCCCTGCGGAGGGGGGAGAGGGGCGCGTCACGGGGGTGGCTCCTGGCCCGCCCGTGCTGGCCGGCGTGGCGGAGGGGGCGGCCGCCGGCCCGCGGGCGCCCCTCACATACCTGCTTGAGCAGCACGGTGGTGGGGGCCTCGATCTGCCGCAGGGCCAGCTTCTTCCACGAGAGGGCGCTGAACCACCTGCGGGCACAGGAGGCGCCGGCCTGAGGCGGGGCAGGTGGCCCAGGCCCCTGCGGGCTCAGCCGGGCAGCCCCTAGATGGGAGGAGGGGGCTCCCGCTGCGGCCCGCACGCTGGCTCAGCACCCCCCGCAGTGGTGTCATGGCAACGGGGGGCCGAGGCTGGGGTGCGGGCGAGGCTTCCTGGGGCCAGCTGGGGCAGCCCCCGGCATCCTCTGGTGCCCCTGCCCCCCACTCTGGGCAGGGATATGCTACCAGGGAAGGCAGTAATGGACCATGAAGGGGGCCGGAGCACCAGTGGAGAGCCCCCGGGGCTGGCAGTGGGGCTTGAGGGCCTCCATGTGCAGCAGCAGTGCCCCCCCCCAATCATGGGAGCGAGCGGATACTGGCGGGCTGCCTCTTTGTGCCCCACCTCGGAGCGGCTGCCCAGAAGTGCCCCAGCTTCGTGGCCTCCCAGGCGACGGGCCCTCCTCCTCCTGTGCCAGGCCCCACAGGAATCCCTGCCCAAAGTGCCTTTGCCAGGCCAGGGACGGGCCACCTTCTCCAGAGCGGCTCGGGCACCTGTGGGAAGGTCCCCTCGGGAGCACCCAGGGGCCTCCACCTCTTGTCCTGGCCGCCACATGGCCAGCCGCCCTCCTGGCAGACCCACCTGTGCTTCCGGATGCCCCGGATGCCGCTGCTGGTGTTGCCGAGACGCTGACCGGGTCGGCGCCTGCCGTGCAGGGGAGGGGGGTCAGTTTGCTTCGGTGGCCGAGATGGGGACGCGGCGCTTCAGAGCGGCCTGGTGGATCAGCCCGGGGCGCCTCCGGTCCCCGCAGGAAGCCCAGCAGCACAGCAGCACCCCCCAGCCCAGGTTCCCTGGCAGCTCGCATGCAGAGACACCTGGTGCCTAATACTGGGAGGCACAAGCCATTGGGACAAGTGGCCAGGAATGGCTGCTTCTTTCCACTAATCGGCCCAATTTGCCCTTGAAGCCGCCCGGACTGGGGCTGAGCCGACAGTGCACCTTGTGAGGGCGAGTCCCGTGGTTCCCTCCAGGCACCTGTCCTGGCTCCCCCCGCGACCGGCTCCACGGGGTGACCCCGCTGGGGAGGACCAGCTCCCCACCGGGCATGCTTCTGTGGCTAGGGGGGCAAGCGGACCTCTGGATCGAGACTTCCATCAAGGAACGGGGTGCGGAGCAGGGCACCCGTTTCCGGGGTGGGGGGG